GCTGCCATATTTAATGATTTTAGTTACATTTCATAAAGGGAAATAGAAATATTTTATACTTAAAGGATATGGACACTTACAGACGCATGCTGGAATAACTCTTGCAGAATAATTGTCGAGCTTGGAAATTTCTGTGTTGCTTTGTAGTCTTTATTCAGAATTGGTGTTAATAGTTTCATGTTAATAGACTTACAGCTCTGTTTTTTAGTTGTTTAACATAATTGTGCTAACCCTGCTGGGGAAGTTTAGAAAAGGACAGGATAGTTTTCTCAGGCCAAGTTTAAATTACATCGATCATGTAATAGTTCACACAAAACAAGCAAACAAGCAAAACTTTTATTATTCTGTCCTAGAAGAGCATTAAAAGTGTTACTTTTAGGGTCATGCTTACCATTCAGCTGATTGTAATTTGTGCTCACCAATGTGTAAATAAGAATAGCAAGTATATGTTGAACACTTTGTATGTACCAGGCATTTATATTATCTCATATAGTCTTCACAATTACCTGTGAGATAGGTTGGAATTCCCTTTACAGATGAGGCTGAGAGAGTAACAGATGTCTCCAATCTAAGTCTGAGACGAGGAGGCAGACAGAACAAGTGCCTGTTATGTACAGTACCTGTGGTTTGGTTCATGATGTTAGCAGCTTCCAGGAAATGCTGAGATGTTTATGTAGCTGTCTAGTAAACGTCAGATTACTTCAGCTTGTCTAGGTAAGAATATCTGATCACACTGGGTGACCTAGGGTGGATTCTCCTGGGGTGAGCAGCCTGGAGTAAGGACTTGTGTTTCCTGTCTGGCTTTGGTCTGGCTCATTCTGCAGTCCCCTAACATGTCAGTTGCTTTCTGTCACCTTATTAATTGCTGAACACTCACTCATTGTGTTCTTTGCTGGTCACATGCCAAGAACTTTTGGCAGCTCTGGGGAACATGCTCTCCATATGCCTTCTGGTAAGTGTTGGACAATTAGAAGTTCCTAGTTGTTGTGAGAACTTTGATTCAGAAACTAGGACACATGCCAGAGACCAGGGTTGGGGTAGTTGGGCAGCTGACAGGTGAAATGGAGCTATTCAGGTTGTCACTTGGTCAGGACTCAGAAATAGAGTAGGCATGTGACTCTGAAAAGTGGTTTTTGAAGAGGATTATGATGGTTGGCAATGGACTTCATAGTTTGTAGACATAAAATAATTCTAACTTCATTTTGAGGAAGAGTCATAAAAATACAAAATCTCCTTTGCTATATCTTCTCTTCTTTATGGTCTCTCAAAGTTGACATTTCTCAGGGTTCAGTCCTTAGCCTTCTGTATTTATTTTCCACACAATCTTACGTTATCACTTGTTTTAAATGCCATCTGGTCTCCCAAGTTTACAATTTCTTTACTTTGGTCTCTCTTAGGAGTTCTAGACTTATATTTATGTCTTTTCAACATCTCCATTAAACATTTCAAACTTAATATGACTAAAATATAAATCTTGAACTCTTCTCCCTGGATAAATGATATGCTCACTTGTTCCAGGCCAAAAACTCAAAGTCATGTTTGACTTTTTCTTTCATATCCCACATCTAGTCCATTAGTAGGACTTACATGTCTTCCTTTCAAACTGTATCCCAAATCCCCCCATCCCACTCCTCACCCTTACTGCCCTATTATAAGTCACTATTGTAAGTTACCTAGGTGATAATCGTCTTCTAACTGGCCTTCCTTATCTTCTCATTGTACCTCTCTAGTCAGTCCTTCATATAGGAGCAAAAGTTTTTTTGTTTTTGTTTTTTAACTGCTAAACAGTTCCTGTCATTCCTCTGCTCAGAACCCTTCAGTGGCTACTCAGCACACACATGATAAAACCTCGTCTCACATGTTTTACCAGGCCTGCTGACTTTATCTCCTATACTCTCTGTCTTGCTCCCTGTCCTCTATCCACACCTGCCTTTTGCTACTCCTTAGATACTCCCAAGGCCATTTGTAATCAGCTAATTTCTCCCTGCTCCTTGATCCCACACCCCTCACTCCAAGCAGTTCAACCTCTAACCTGGTACTAGTGGAAGTAGATTTAGAGAGAAGAAAAGTGCACATCCAGTACTCTCTAGCACATGTAGTGGTAGAGTCACAGTAAAAATATTACAGCTTTAGCATTCCTAGTTTCTGCAATTTGAATTGCTTTCAAGTATAAAAGGGACTGGATTTAGAGCTACAGAAAGTCATAGCTAGAATCAATGGGGGAAAGTTACAGAGAGAGAGATTCTCCTCTGTTTAAAGAGTGCTAATAAGTTGGTACAAATTACATCTGCATGAAAACAGTTTGATCTGCTTCATGAGACAGTGAGCTCTCCATCACTGACAATGTGCAGGTAGGGGCTGATCAGTCTCACACAGAGCCTTATATTTGAAGAAGATATCATATAAGACTTTTATAGCTAGAGAAGGAAAGTCAGTGCTTGGCTTCAAGGGACAATCTGACTCTCTTGCTAGGGGCTAATGCAGCTGGTCACTTGAAATTGAAGCCAGTGTTCGTTTACCATTTTGAAAATCATATAGACTAGAAATATGGATACACTTCAAAAACATTATGCTGAGTAAGATAAGCCAGACATAGGACACCACAAACTGATTCCATTTGCTGTTCTAGGTTAGTATATCAGAAGTGTGAGAAAAGATAAATTTACTATACAGTGAGAAAAAGCAGACAAGTTGTTGCATGCAGCTAAGGGTGGGTTGAGATTGATCTGGAGGCAGTACAAGGGAACTTTTTGGGATGATGGTTGTGTTCTATATCTTGATTATGGTGGTGATTATATGGACATATAAATTTGTCCAAGCCCACTGAAAAGTACACTTAAAATTTTTATATTTTATTATATGTCAACTATTATCCCAGTAACATTGCTTAAAAAACCCTGGTACACAAATTTTGGAAGTTATTTTACTAGCAAAAGATTAACTTCTGTCTATGTGTAATGCTAAAACTTAGTCACCCTGAAAAATTCATTTAGATAAATCAGTATATACAATGTACATTAAAAAATACATGAATTAAAAGTCCTTAAGGAAAGAGAGTAGATGAATTCTCAGCATACTTTCTAGTCTGTAGAAGGTATACAGACTATACTTTTTGATATATTTGATGTATTGGAATCTTCACACTGATGTATGTTTCCAGTTTCTTGAATTGATGTTCGGTTGTACTCATGACACTAAGCAGCAGCCAGATAAAATGTAATAATTACAATTTGTTCTTGATTCTGCTTTCTTGTTCTTCTTGAGTTGAATTTTATTTCATGTTTTTTAACTAGAAAAACTATTTAGAAGACATGCCAATGTTCTGTAGAATCTATTTTTTCTTTTAGGAATGGATCCCCTAGAGTTTAGCTAAGCACGTGGCTGCCTGTCTAGAACCCATGCTTCTCTGGTTCTTTTGTAACAATGTGTGGCTGTGTGGCTAATGAAAGGTGAATGGTGATGTGTGTAAGGTCACCTCCTTTAAGACAAGCCGCTTACCCTAGACTTCCTCTTTTCCTTTTTTGCTGCCTGGAGTATTACACCAGTTACAGTAGCCATCTTCGGTTGAGAGTTGTAAACCATGTGGAAGATGGCAGAGCCAGCAATCCACAAATGGTCTTGTGAAACACACCTCCCCTCCCACCCTGTATTTTGACATGAAAAAGAATTTCTTTCTCACTTGAGCTACTTTTGAGTCTCTTTGTTATGGGAGAAAGTTTATACCCTAATATAAAATGGAAAGCATTTCAGAGTTTTAAGTTTTTCTTTATACTGTTTGGCTATATTCTCTCTATATTGGTATTGTATTCTCAATTAAAATAATTTTTAAAACAGCATATGATTGCATGCCAAGAGTTCCTTTTTGATTGATTATTTAGGAGAATGTTTTGCAAATTTCAAAGTTACTTTTAAACTTTTGGTAGTCATTCTTAATGGAATGATATTAATATATGGCATTCTGCTCTTTTAGATTTTTATGGTTGTATTTCTGGACCAGCTTATGATCAGTTTTGGTAAAGTTACATAGACCTTTTTAAAGAGGTTTTATTTATAATATACCTAAATACCTATTATGTTGTTGAACTCTATTTTTTTTGTCTGATCTCTCAGGGACTTAAAGTTGTAAATCACTGATTTCTCCCATTAATTTTAATTCGTTATACTTCTCTCAGGTTTTGTTTTCGTGTATGTGTTAATGTGTTATTTACTGTCAACATCGCAATTGAGGATTATACCTTTTATCAGAGTAATATGACTTCTTTCTTTTTTTTTTTCCATTAAATAAAAGGTCTTGTTTTGTCACCCAGGCTAGAGTGCAGAGGCATAATTATAGCTCATTGCAGCTTCCAAATTCTAAGGCCCAAGTGGGTGATCCTCCTGGCTAGCTGGGACTATAGACGTGGCACCACACCTCTAATTTTGTTTTTAATTTTTTGTAGAGACGGGGCCTTGCTATATTGTCCAAGCTGGTCTTGAACTTCTGGCCTCAAGTGATCCTTCTGGCTTAGCCTCCCAAAGTGCTGGGATTACAGGTATGTGCCACGGCACTCAGCCATGACTTTCTAATTTATGACTTGGGTTTTTTGTTCTGTTTTAACTGGAATTGATATTGCTACCTTAGTTTATATTTCTCTATAAATCTGTAATTCCTGTTATATTTACACTTTCTTTGTCATTACTTTTAGGTATGTTTCCTAAAAGTAGAACATAGTTGGATTTCGTTTTTTTAACCTAAAAAGAACGTCTCTTAACAAATATTTAATGCATTTAAATTTGTTTCCAAATTGTTCTAATTGATTTTACTTTATTGATCTTCCTTTCAGCTTTCTGTTTGAAATTCTTCCTTGTTTTCATTATGTTTTGGATTTTTTGCTGTTTTGATTTGAAGTTTTACATTTAATTTGATTTTCATTTTTAACTTATGGTTCACTTAAGAG